TCCACTGTCTGTGTACTTTTATTTGGTTACAGTTTGACATTTTGTTTTGTTCCTTTCTTTTGGGGTGTGGTTTTATTTTGTTGTCTTGAGTTTTGGTGTGTCAAGTGGGTAGGGAGGAGTTGAAAATTTGGATGGACTTGGGGGAGGGAGAAATGTGATCACAATATAGTTAAAATTTTTAATGTTTTAGATAATAAAAAGAAGTCACATATAATGAGAGCCATAGACAGTGGATGACTACAAGCAAACAGGATCTTCTGCCTCTACAGGGTAGCTGTGCCTAGGAGCTCACAGCAGTTTTGATAGCATACACAGAGCTGGAACACCCAAGCCAGACCAGAGAGCTGAGCATTGAGTTCCACCCCTAGCTGAGATGTCATTGACAATTGTCAGCTGCCAGAAGGGAGGCTCAGTTTTCTCTGAGAGAGTAAGTAGCCTCTGGGGACCTGACCATGTTCCAGCAGAAAGGTAACATATCCAAAATTATTGGGGAAACACAAATTGGTCTCCATGGGCTTTAAGGAGGTGGGTTGCAAATTTGGGTGGGTAGAGGAAGGGAGAGTGGGGAATGAATATGATCAAAACATACTGTAAAATTCTCAAAGACGCACACACGCATACACGCGCGCGCGCGCGCGCGCGCGCACACACACACACACACACACACACACACACCATGTGGTGCATGGAATGATATGTAGTTGTTTGAATGAGCAATTCCCCCTCCATGGGTTCAGGTATTTGAATACTTGTTCCCAAAAAAGGTTCCCAAAAAAAGGTGATAGTGTTGTTTTGGAAGGTTGTGGAGTTTTTAGGTGCTGAGAGTCTTTATCATTTGTTATAGAAGTAGCAATTAATATTCTAGGTGTCAACCCACAAGAATTAACTTCTAATGGAGGAAACTTGCCTTGTAAAGTCTATAAGAAATTCAGACTCCAGAATATCCATTGCTTCTGCCTGTGATTTTAAATGTGTTAACAGCATTCTTTCCCTAGCCTGTATATATGTGTCTGTATCTCATAAATACATTGCCAATCTACTGTGTTCATATATCTGTGGGAAGTTGTAAGGATGACTTTTCATTTGGCTGTATAATCTTGATATTTAGAATATATACTGGGTACCTTAAATTCTAGAAAAGGCCCCAGAGAAAGGAAAATTCTTCTCACTCAGGATCAGTGGGAACAAAGCCACTGCTTGGCCCAGAGGCTGGAAATACAAGGCTCTGGAGTTTACACTACATAGCTCCTTCCTCTATTTACCCTTTTCAGATATGCCTGGACCCTTCATGGCCACCCTCCCTCTGAGACATAAAGTAGGATAACAGGCCCCCCCTTTACCAGCCTTTATCTGTCTTCTTGGCCCTGAGAAATGCATGCCTGTTAGCCTTGCTATTGCCAGAGAATTGCTAATTGCATCTGCATGGGTATATAAACTGGAAACCATGTGGAACTAGGGAGAGATAACTTTTTGAAGAATAAAGAGACATGAGAAGAAGAATACATGTAGGAGCTAATTTAGCCAGCTCTCTGTGCTTGCTGTAAGTGTCCTGTCTGAACCCTGTGGGGGCGCTGAGGCCAGCACTCAGAGGTCCCTGATACTTAGGACATGGAACATGGCTGGAGGAAGTATGTCACTGGGGAGGGCTTTAGGAGTGTCACCTCTGATTTCTGCATGTGGTTGGAGATGTGGCCTCTCTGCTTCTTAATCCAGCCACCTGCAGCTCTGTCTCCCCAGCACAAAGGACTCTCCCTCTGGACTCTACGCCAAAGTAAACTCTTTTATCCATAAGTCTCTTTCAGTCGTGGTGTTTTAACACAGCAATGGAAAATCCCATATAACAACAAAGGCTGGCTATAGTATGAAGAAAAGAGAACCCTTATACACTACTGATGGGAATCTAAATTAGTCCTAACACTAAAGAAACCGGTAAGAAGGTTCCCAAAAAAAGAAAAGAAAAGAAAGGAAAAGGAAAGAAAAGAAAAGGGGTCTACCATATGATCCAAGTATATCACTTCTTGGTGTTTACTTTAAGGACTTTTAAGCCAATGTATCAGGGAGCTTCGCATTTGGATTTATTGCAACAATAGTGAATTTATGGACTCAGCTTAGTTGTATATAGTGATTTGAAGAAGAAGCATCCTCCATGGATTCAGGTATTTCAACACCTGTCTGCCAGTTGGTTGGCACTGTCTGAGGTTCCAGAGGTGCAGCCTTGCTGGAGGAAGGGATGAGCTTTAAGAGTACATAGAGAATTTTCAGCGTACTCTCTCTGCATTGTTTTGTGACTGAAACATGGTCTCTCAAGCTTCCTGCCCCTTGTGCCATGTCTGATGCTTGCTACCATGCCTCCTCGCCATGACGGACTCTTGTCTCTCTGGAATGTCGGCCCCAAACGAAACCCTTTATCCTATAAGAATTTATTTGGGCTCATGGTTTCAGAAGGATCGGAGTCCTTCATGGTGAGGAGCATGGCGACAGGCAGGTGTGATGGCACAGGAAGTCAAATGCTCACATCCTCGACTGCAAGAAGAGACGATAAACTAGAAATAAGATGAAGATAGATATATATGTATCAAAACTCTCCTGAGGCAATGTACTTCCTCCAGCAAGACTTCATTATCTAATCTCCCCAAACAAATACTATTATGGGGAACCTGCTGTTCAAATCCTGAGCCTATGTGGGGTATTTCTCATTGAAACCACTTAGGTTTCGAGGGCATAGAAAGGAGAGGAAAGAGATTAAGGGGAGCCATGATCAAAGTATAGTATATACTTGAATGCTATTATCTTATGAGACCAAATACTGTGCATAATAAATATACGCCAATAAAAACAAAATTCCTAATTATTTCACTAATTAGGAACATATTTAATCAAGTAGGTAAAATGCTCCCATGGTTAAACCTGTAAGATGCTGATGAAAGAGATTGAAGAGATACAGAAAGGTAAGTGCATCAAGGATTAGAACAGTTAATATTGTCTAAATGACACCATTACACAAAATGTTTTACAGATTATGACAACCTCTATCAAAATTTATATCATATCTTTCACATAGACTAAGTCCTAAAATTGCTGTGGGGTATATCCACAGAGAAGTCAGATGCCTCATGAAAACTCGATCAAGAGGAACAAAGTTAGAAGCATTTTGTTTCCTATTCCCAACAATTTTATGAATCTATAGCATTAAAACATGGTACAAAACACACACACACACACACACACACACACACACACACCAGAGGAACTGAACAAAAAAGTCCAGAAACAAACCAAACACACAAGACACCAAGAACGCCAAGTGGAGAATTTAGTTTCTTCCACAAACGCTATTGTACAACAGGAAGGGTGTCTATGTGTAAATAACCACAGCTCGATCTTTTGTCTTATCCCATACACTAAAGAAAGAACAAAATCGAAACTCTGAAATATAAAACTACTAGAGTAAAACATAAAGGGATGTCCCTAGTCTTCATGATGATATTTTCAAACACAGCATCAAAAGCAGTCAACAAAAGCTGTTAAACTACACCAAATAAGAGGCTCTGCACAGCAACGAAAACGACGGACAGAGTAACAGGGCAATTCACGGAATGAAGGAAGATACCTCCAAACAAGACACCAGATAAATCCCCAAATTTATGGGTAGCTAATGAAATTATTTAGCCAAAAAGTTAAAATAGGGGAAAGTTTCTGATAGATAGTTCTTTCAAGAAAGGCATACATGAGGTAATGGAGTGCACGGAAAGTATTTAGTATCATTGATCTCCAGAAAAGGCAAATGCAGCTCACTATAAGCTGTACCACTTGGTATGTGTTAGGAGCCTGATGTCAAAATTCAAAACAGACAAAAAAAATCTGTGATCTGAAGAGACAATCGGCTCTTAGTCCAGTAAATAAACTTCCTATTGGGCAGGAAACTAATTAAATTCAGAGAAAGGCATTATGGAAGTATAGTTACAAAACAATCCAACAGCAAGCAAATTTAAAACAAACTCAAAAAATAAGGTGTTGGCAAAGATGTAGAGAGAAGGGACTCTTGCCCATTGTTGGAAATGCAAATAGGTGTGGAAGAGCTAGGTAGATACAGAGCGGGAACCACGTGGCAAGCTGATGATGTGATGTCAATTAGTGGCACCCCATTTAATTCAGCTTCATTTTGAAGAAGCTGGTTGTGTTTTAGTTTGGTTTGGGTTTTTGTTTTTAAGATGAGATCTATCTACGTGGTCCAGACTGGCTTCAAACCCATGATCCTCCCATCTCAGCCATCCAAGTGCTGGATTATAGGCATGCCCCATAAATGCTTGTTTTGTTTTGTTTCAAGACAGGCTTTCTCTGGGTAGCCCTGTCTGTCCAGGAATTTGCTTTGTAGACCAAGAATCTCTGTGCTCTTTCTAGGATCTGTTTACAAAAACAGAACAAGCTATTTGGATCACATGAGCCTAAAATTCCTTAAGATGGGCCATGTTTATATGTGTAAAAATTTCTTGAGTTTAATGTTATAATTTCTTCATTAAGGAAAACAGATATGTGACAATGTGGTGGCTCACACTTTAATCCCAGCACTCTGGAGGCAGAGGCAGGCGGATCTCTGTGAGTTTGAGGCCAGTCTGGTCTACAAAGCAAGTTCCTGGACAGACAGGGCTACACAGAGAAAGCCTGTCTTGAAACAAAACAAAACAAGCAAGCAAACAAGCAAACAAACAAAAAAAACCCAAAATTATATGTGACGATTAAAGGGCACACCAAAAAAGAATCATTGTTTGAATACACTTAAGACATGACATTCATTTCATCTAACATCATGCATGTATTGTTTTCTGATGGAAATGTTAACTCAAATTTAAATAAGATCCTTCCAAAATGTGTTTTTCTTAACAACAACAAAAAAATCCTTTTCTCCAGTTTGAGAGTAACTAAGAGATCATGAATCAAAGTACAGAACTTGCAAGTGAGGGCCCATTAACTCAGAAAAGCACAACACTAGCTATCACTACCTTCCATGGGAGAGGAGCCGGGGTGCACCTTTATCAAGTGAGTCTCCTTCCACTCTGAGTGACAGCTCCTCTCGCAGTGCCTGGACAATGGCGCACACAGCAGCATGGACTCTGTAGCTCGGGGGTGAGGTCTTCACATCCCAAACATGCAGAGCTCTTGTAGCCAAAGGTGCCGTTTTGTTCACACCGGCTCAGGTTCCTGACAAAATTCTGATCTAAATATGGACATTCAAATAATTTCGACCACACATCCTGGATAAAGGTATTGTGAGGGTATTTTCCAGGTTGAACACCTCTGAGGAAATCCTTGAATCCCAGAATTTCATCCATGGGAACAGAAAACGATAACCCTCCACCAAAGTCTGTATAACTTAGACTCTGTCCGAAGGGTAACGTGGTGATATCCCAATCTGAAGTTGTGATCCAAACATTACCAAGAGGAATATTGCAAAAGATGTTATAGATAAACCTCAGAAGAGAATACGTGTCACCAAACACAATGATGACATCTGTCAACGTGAATCTTTCCATGAAACGTTGCCTGTCTGTTGTGCCCTTAGCAGGAAATTCTGGAATTTTTTTTCTGCAAATGCAACACAAAGTCTATGGTTGGCCATCTCTTCTGTGATGCCGCTAAGGAATAGTTCTCCCCTCATATCATCTGGGACTACAAGGCCAACCCAGACCCAATCAAAGTACAGCAGCAGTTGAATATTCCCTGATACAGAGCTGTGGTGTTCACAGGAAAAAACTGGTAAGGAGGCTGGGACTGGACTCTGGCCCCAAGACTGGGGTCATAAGGAGCATAGCTGATCTAAATGGAAAGCAAAGTTACTACGAACACAAGACAGTAATGTTTATTCCCAAATGGCTGTGAGCCACCGTGTGGTTGCTGGGAAGCAAACTCAGGACCTCTCTAGAGCCATCTCTCTAGCCCTCTTAACACTTTTGAAAATCTACTAAACAAGGCAGAAGAGAGTCTATCTCCTACCCTTGGTTCTGGTAATACCAGTCAAACAAGAGCATTTGCCAATCCATTCCTTCCTATGCCAAACCTTGCCTTTTCCTGATAATGGAAGTAGAGACACATTAAATGAAAGGCCTTTCTCTCCCCTCCCCCGCCCCCTGGAAGTCACAAGTCCATAACTAATAAACTGACAAAGAGGAATCTGTGAAGCATTTTTTTATTTTTTAAGATTTTTATTTATTTATGTATACAGTGTTCTGGCTGCATATATGCCTGCATACGAGAAGAGGCACCAGATCTCATTATGGATGGTTGTGAGCCACCATGTGGTTGCTGGGAATTGAACTCAGGACCTTTGGAAGAGCAGCCAGTGCTCTTAACCTCTGAGCCATCTCTCCAGCCCCCTGTGAAGCATTTTAAAATCCATTAGTGAGCTCTGTGTTTCCCTAAAAGTTCCTATGTTGTTGTTTTTTCTGTAATGCTTAATATACAGTCAACTCAACTGCCCTCCAATAAGCTTGCTCAGGGTAAAAGCCTAACTACATCCCCCAGGGCTGGCTGTAAAGTCACTCCTTACCCAGTGCCGTCTGGCCACCCCCATCATGTTGCTACCTTTCTTACCAGGAAGTTTGAGTGAGGTACCTACCCTGCCATTCCTGTGCACTTCATGGCATCTCTTCTTGAAAAAGAAAACTAGATCATTAATTACCTAATCTGCTAAATCAAATGACTAATTATCAAAATTCATTTCACCTAATCTAACATTGGCATGAAACAATCCTTTTCTTAAAAAATGTGCTTCTAATGAGTTCCAGGACTCTTTCTTTGATCAAGGAATGTATCCAGGGTTTGGCCAACACTGTCAACCTACCTTCCTGAATCTTCTCCATCTCTCCACACTGGTGATCTCAGAATACCAGAAGGTCCCATGGGTCACATTACGATCTGATCCCCCTTTTGATACAAATTCCCTAAATGATACCTAAAATTACATGCCCACTTAGCTCATACCCTAGCTCCATACACCAACTCTTTCTCCAAGAATCTGAACTTGAAAGTCTAGTGTACATTTCACTTACTGGATCCAAAATCATGATAATTGGATATAAACACTCAATACATGTTAACTGGCTGGGAGAAAGAGGTATGTGGGGAGGGAGAGGAAATAAGATATCACAAAAATCACAAAATGAAATAAACATGAATACTGTGAGGAGGGGGACAGGTAGCATAAAGAAATACCCACTATTTAATAACTGCACAAAAGTAAGCAATTTTAATAGATGATATAAGATTGTTGTATTTGTATATTATTAAACTTTGATAATTGGTTCACAAGACTCTTGAAACTAGCTTATTTAAATCTGAAAAAAACTACTTTTAAGACATAAATTTAAAAAAAAATTGTGCTTGAAATGCAACAAAAAACACTTCCTTTCTTTAACATAGCCTGAGAGAATTCATTTGTCTGTAGGGAAAAAGGAAATATTTTCAGAGGCCTGGGGAGATGCTTAATTTCTAAAGAGCCCACTGTGCGAAGGATGGACCTGAGTTTGATTTCCAGCATCCATTTCAAAGCTGGGCACAGTGGCGAATGGCAGGAATCCCAGCACTAGAAAGGTGGAGAGTGTCGTCCAGCCACAAATCCGCTAAGTCTAGGATCACTGAGAGGCTCTGTCTCAAAAAGCAAGGTGGGGAGGGAACCTGATGTTAACCTGTAGCCTCCACACTCAAGAGCAGAAACAGGCGCATAAAAGATGTTTAAAGTCATTAGGAAAAGAGTGAAACCATCTCTTACATCCCCATCGGGTTCCAGTTTTAAAACACAGAAGAAAATCTGGTTGATCCAAAGCTTCTTCTTTCTATATGACGCAATGAATGAGAAGAGTCACCAAAGCAAAGAACAGATCCACTCAAAAGACAGAAGAGCCCCTTAAATGCCAGCACTCAAGAGAAAGAGGCAAATGGATCTCTGTGTGTCTAAGGGCAGCCTGGGCTACATAGCAAGTCCAGGACAGCTAGAGCTATGTAATAGAGACGCCCATCTTTAAAACAAAACAAAACAAAAAGCAAAAGCAAATCTCAGCTGGATTGGTGGGGTGGGGTGGAAATACGATGAGAACAGGAGGGATCAGGTGGGGAGAGGATCGAGGGAGAGAGTACTGGGAAAGACAACTGGGAAACAGGGGTTGGGGGATGGTGGGGGGTTGTCTTTTGGAATGAAAACTCCCAGGAATCTATGAGGATGACCCTAGGTAAGACTAGCACTGAGAAATACAGAGCCTGAACTGGCCATCTCATGTTACCAGGAAAAACTTCCCATGGGGGGATTGGGACATCAACCCAGCCACACCACCTTTGCCCTACAATTCTCCCTGCCTACAAGATGTGTTGGGATAAAGGAGGCACAGAAATTGTAAGAGTGGTCAACATTGAAGCTCTTGAGATCCATGCCACCAGAGGAAGCTTACCCCTGACACTGCATAGAGGGCCAGGACCCAGAGGAGGGATAGCCCAGAGATCTAGGATAGAACAAAACACACTGGCAAAACAAAAACAAAAAACCTCAACAAAAAAATTCTTTTTTTTTTTTTTTTTTGGTTTTTCGAGACGGATTTCTCTGCGTAGCTTTGGAGCCTATCCTGGTACTCGATCTGGAGACCAGGTTGGCCTCGAACTCACAGAGATCCTCCTGCCTCTGCCTCTCGAGTGCTGGGATTAAAAACAAAATAATTCCTAATGACATTCTGTTATACTCATAGACTGGCGCCTAGCCCAGCGGTCATCAGAGAGGTGTCATCCAGCAACTGAAAGAAACAGATGCAGAGACCCACAGTGTGTGAGTTCATGTGTGTCACAAAACTAGAAAGGGAACCACTAGAATGGAAAAAGAGCTCCTAAGGTGGGGTGACGTAGCGGTGTGACACACAAGCTGAAAGGGTTTTGTGCAGAGAGGAACAACCGGACAGGAAGGTAAGAGAGGGCATCCAGGAGCAGACAGGAAGAACAAAGTGTACATCAACATATGCTGACAAAAGATAATCCTAGAGGACCCAAGTTCAAGTCCCAGAAACTATGTCAGGTGGCTGATAACCATCTCCAACTCCAGATCAGGGGCTCCAACTCCTCAGGCCTCTGAGGACATTGTTCTAATACCTAAGCACGCATGCTCGCGCGCGCATGCACACACACACACAAACACTATGAAAAATAACAAAAATAAGTCTAATTAAAAAGAGTACACTGCTCAGTCATAAGATACACTAGGAAAATCAAAACAAATATCCCAGCCAGCAGATACAAACTCACAACACAGAGACAAAAAAAAAAGCATGAAAAACAAAAACAATGAGACTCTCCACAAGGATCCTAACTCCTTAACTACTGAATTCAGTGACAGTGAAATGGATAAAATGCCAGACAAACAATTCAAAAGTTTACCAGCAAAATATCTACAAAGCCCTAGAGAGTATTCACTTCTGCTATTCCTTTTTAGCTTAAAATCTTAGCAAAAACAGTACAGTAGGAAAACACGTACAAACAGGATAAGAAGGCAAATTATCCCTGTTCCCATAAATGTTTAAATACTCACAAAGTCCATAGAGATCCCACTAGAAAACTCTCTGACCTCGTATACATTTTCATCAAAGTAACAGAACACAAAACAAGCACCCAAAGTATTAGCTTTCTATATATCCACAGTGAATTTGCAGGGGAAGAAATCATGGCAATAATCCCATATGCAACAGCTTAAAAAAAAATCTACCACATAGGAATAAACCTAACCAAAAAGGTGAGGGACATTGAGAGAAGAGTCTAAAGGCGGAAGGAACTTGTGCGCACACAGATCGGCCGAATCACTATTATAAATTACTCCACAATAGCATGTTATTAAGCATAATTCTCATCAGTCTTCCTATGATATTCCTCACGAAACTAGAGCAAGCAATCCTAAAAGTCATCTGAAAGCCCAAAAGGCCCCAAATGGATAAAGCAACCCTGAACAGACAGGGTAATGCTACAGTATCCCAACACCAGATCTCAAAACCACAGCAACACAGCAGCATGGTGCTGGCATAAAGAAACCTTTAGACAGATGGAACAGAGGACCCACCTATAGACTCGCATCGCCACCGGCCAAAGCACACCTGGAGAAAAGGCGGCTGCGTCCACAAATCTCTAGGGAAAGAGACGACCCATCCACAATGAAGAAAATTAAGGTAACTAACTAACTGTATTGCCTCCCTGTGCAAAACCCAATTCAAATCCGCTCAGAGACATTAAGGTAACACTTAAAACTCCGAAGTAGCTAGAGGAAAACCTAAGGGAAACACTTCAAAATATTGGTGTGGACGAGGATCTTCTGAGAGGACTCTGATAGCTCAGCAAACCATCTCATGGCTGCTCGGCGGGACTGCATGGAATTAAAAGATTCTATATGGCAAAGGGAAGGATCGTATGGCAGGGAAGCAGAATGGGGGTGTTTGGTGGCTGTACAGAGACTCGTGAGAGGCAGGAGAGGCAGGTAGGAGGAGCAGTGACAGAAATGAACAAAGTACAATTATATGCGTATTTCTTATAAATAATTGTACTTATTACAAATGTCATAGCAATCATACGCTCAAAGTAAAATATTTAAGATAAAAAACAAAATTCACTGACAAAAACAAAAATCTCATCAGGCACCGTGGCGCATTCCTTTAGGCCCAGCCCTTGGGAGGCAGAGGCAGGAGGATCTGAGTCTGAGGCCACCCTGGGCTACATAGTAAGTTATAGGCCAGCCAAGTATGCAAAGTGAGACCCTGTCTCAAAAATAAATGAGTAAATAAGTAAAAATTAAAAATAAAAACATGGTAGCCTAACGCAGTTGACAAAGATTTTAATTTGCTTCACGGACGTTAGCGGACAACAGATACTGGATCACTGTTATTTGCAAACTAAAATATTTCTAAGCAGCCATTCCAAGTTTATTGTAAGCCCTACAAACCAAAATGCATTTGACTTAGAAATGCCACTACCCTAGCAGTCATCACTGGTTAACAGAAAGATTTTTAAACAAAGACACGAATTAAAACTTTCCTCCTGGCCAAGCTGTGGTCTCTGTCTTTAATCTCAGCACTTGGGAGGCAGAGTCAGGCAGGTCTCTGTGAGTTCAAGGCCAGCCTAGTCTACACAGAGAAATCCTGTCGCAAAAAACAAACATACAAAACAATTTTCCTCTTTTGGGAGGAAAATTGTAAACAGCCCAAACATCTCCTCTGGTCCTTATAAAAATAAGCATCATGTGGTAACTTAAGCTGATACTTCAGAAAAATAGTCAAGCATATGTTCACACTAGTTACAGTAAAAATATGTGAGTAGCACTGGCCCAGTCCTCATGCTTGGTGATGCTCTAAAACTGCCCAGGAAAGAAAGACTGGATATTAATAATGATAAATGGCAAAGGAAATTTTTTTTGGAGTGGTAACATTACCACTCCAATTACAGGTTGTTATTATTTTTACCTATGGGTTTTTTTCTCATTTTAAAGGTCTTTTTTAAATTAAATTTTATCATACAAACCAGATTTTCTCTTATGAATAAATTATACTCTAGTTAAAATGATAACCAAATAGTAAATTATTAAGCCATACCTCATCAAGAAACACTATCGGAACTATTCAGTGTTTATTACTCCATCACTGTGTTCAACCTAAGGATCCAGGATTCTTTTCGTACCTGAGGGACATTGTAGAGACTTAGGACTCAGGAGATCTGTGTTGATATTCCTGTAGAGATGCCTCCTATCACAGCAACCAGCTTGTCACTCTTCTCAGGCCTGCAGGTGTAGTTAGGGATTGGGGGGCTCTCTCCTGAGAGCAAAGCCACAGAACTCTCCATGGCCTTCATCTCAATGAAATTGACATTGAAGAGATAGAATCCCAGGGACAGATTGAATAGAATATTTGGGTCCTTGTTGATTGTTTCTATAGCAATGGCCAACATGTGCTGGAAATGTTTGGTGAGATCTCTAGGAGGAAAAATGGAAAGATGACTTTATGTATTCTTTTTTAGTTTAATTTTTAATTTAATTTTTTCCTCCTTCCTGATTCTCCCGTGCTCCTCCCCTTGTTCCCTCCCAAATGCTTGATTTTATTTCTAAAAATCTAAGTTATATAAGGAATATACATGATAATCTAAGAAATGAGCAAGATATTCCATATTGAAATGTGAAGGAATTGGGCTATAAAAACAGATTCATAATACAACTCATTATCAAAGTCACAATTTTTGGCTTGGGATTTTTTTTTCTTTTTTGAGACAGTCTCACTATGCAGCCTTGGCTGGCCTGAAACTCACATTGTAGAATAAATTAACCTCAAGCTCACAGAGCTCCACCTACCTCTGCCTCTCAAGTGCTGAGATCAAAAGTTCGGGTCACCGCCCACATTCAAAGGTGCACTTTTAACTTTTTACTGTGCAACTTGTGTCTGAGAAAGTAAAATCAAGGAGGGACGCATGTGGGGAGTGGCAATCATTAAAATGTAGTATTTCACGTGATTTTCAGTAACAGGATAAACCTATTTATCCTATTTAAAAAATAGTGTCGAGTAAATTTAAGTAGGGGTAAAAATCAAATGTTCTCAATACAATATCTTAAATAAACACATAAAAGACAAATTCTCAACTGCAAAGTGCTTTAAAGCCTTTCTTATGTGTTTAAGAGAACTCAGCGTGAATAGGAAGGGGCCCACAAAGATCTACCCATAGCTAAGGAACTGTTGGCCGTTGCTGGCTACTGGAGAAGGGATGTCCTTTCCTTCCAGGATGCTGGCCCTAGTAGCTTGCCCACACTCCAGTTGGTGTCCTATGCTCACTCACGCAGTGCTGGCAGACTAAATGAACACGGTGTATTTATTTTTGAGAGAGTACATGAAGCTGGGAGAGAGGAGACTTTGGAAAGGAGGCAGTAGGGGTAGATTTGATCAAAACATATTGCCTATATGAATGAAATCCTGAAACAATAATTATTTTAAAGAGAGAAAACAAGCACTTACATATAAACATAATCCGGTATATAGGTTGTGCTATCAAAGCCAACTCTACTTCTGGTATCTCCTTGAGTCACTTGCAGGGAAAAGAGTCCTCCAATAACAAAATCTCCATCTTGATAGTAGCCAGGAGAACTTGGTGTATTTAAGGGGAAACGAGAAATTTGCTCCTGGAATACAATGAGAATAATCAGGAGACAGAAAGCAATGAACAATTTCGTAATAACATTGATAAATAATTCATAAAGCCCAGAAATCTGTTGAGTCTGGGACTAATCAGCCCTGATAGTACATGAACAAACTGCTAAAACGTGGCTCTCTGATTAACCCGGGTCAAATTTATAAGGCATTGTTTTGTCCTGATTCAGATGGACCATTATCCAAACGCTTCCTTGTTTCCTGTGTTGCACCTCAATTATGTTCCCTTTGCAGAGTCACCATAAATCTCCAAGGCATCACAAACATCTCACTTGGCACCTGAGCATCCTGATTCTCAGAAGGAAAACATACAATTAAGAACAAGTGTGAATTCCGCTAAAGCACCTGAGGGGTGTGAAAGCTCATCGAGTTGAGGGTTTTAAAGATCCCAAGGTTAGGACAGACTAACTAGTGAACATATTCTATAAATCATGAAGTATCACCCGAAGGAGAGTACGGAAGAGCTCAGCCAGGGGCCAGTGCTGGACTCTTAGTTCATTTAACTAAGTGTCATTTTAGAGGATCTCTGCAAAACCAATCCAAGGCCTTTTCATTAGATGACATTATTTCTGATTACTTCACAGGGCCAATTATTAACTTGCCCAGGTTGTCCTTGAAATTGTGACCCTCCTGTCTCAATCTTCCAATTAGTCAAGGTTACAGGTGTGAACCACCAAACCTAGCTCTTACCATAATTTGATGTGGAAAAAAACCGACCACATATTTATATTAATAAAATCAGATGTGCATGGGATATGCAATCTGTTTTCTTCAAATCCTATTAAATCCATTCTCATTGAAAATCCATTTCACCAAAGTCCACTAGAGGGGAGAACTTACAGCAGAATGCACAGGCTTTGATGCTTGGAACATGAAGAAAACCACAGCTTCTGCCAGTTACCTTCAAGTCTAGGGATTGCATTATATGTAGTATAAAACTATACCATATAGTTGAAGGAGAAATTAAAATCTCCATGATAAAAATAGATAGGAATTTATGAGCCCTAAGCATCTCTATAGAGGATTCCAGATGTAATGATTCAGTCTGAAGAGACACACACCACATACCTTCACATTTTATATGCAGACACACACACACACACACACACACACACACACACAGAGAGAGAGAC